GTAGTTTTTTTTGTTATTGATGTTTGGTGAATTTATATACGCTTTATATAATTTATTTCTTGTTTTTATTGATTTTATTATTCCTTTAGTTATCCAAGGTTTGCTAAGTTTTCGGCTGTTTATTTTAGCTTTGGTTTTTGGCAGATTAATATCGTATAAAGTGGAGAATTTTTCAATAAATATATTATATGATTTGTTTGCAGAACTATTTTGGTAAACATCCTCCCAGTCAGTGTTTAATAAATTAATTCCTAATGATGCAATTGATTTTTGGTTTATTTTTCTTGAATAGTGATTTTTTTGTATCGGTATATTATTAGATTTGTTCGAAGAATGCTTTTTAAATATTAGGAATACTGGAAAATGATTTATGATTTGAAATACCCTACACTATACAGCACACTCAAAAAGTAACAGTCCTGCTCATGCAAATTCTGAGCAATAAACCACTGTACTAGTTTAGAGAAACACAAATTGAAATAACAAATTCTCCGGTCGTAAGCGCAAACAAAATGACATGATTGTTTAATTATTCCTATTTACTTTCAGTCGATGTTTCTCACTGTTTGATATATCATTGGAATGCAGCACGATTCCCACCCACTCTCCCTCACCTGTAAAGTAGTCACTCAGACTACAGTACGACATTACGTCAGTAAAGCATAAGTTGATTTATGGTTTTGTTAAACAAGCATAAATAATACCTTTCCCGATTATTCGTATAGAACCTTTAATTATTTGGTAGACAAAAGGATATTTTAATTGTAGTAAAAGCACTGTATATATTTTAAATAAAATTCTGTAATGTTAATCGTAGGTTAGGTTATATTTTTCTTCTCAATTTACTGTTGATTTTTCTCTTTTGGATGCACCATCATTTTGGATGTGTGCCATTGTATTGAAAGTGATTCCAAATAAAAACAAAACAAGCAATTGTTAAAGCTGCTGTTGACGTGTTTATTTATTTGCAACTTGTAAATAACTCATCACAGACTCTTAATTACTCGATGGCAGATAAGAACTCATCCAACAAAATTTTTCAATTATTCATAAAATAAATACATTTTCACTTTCTTGGGTCTCAATAATAAGTCAATGATACAAATAATGAATACATTGACAAACCTGACCTGGACAACTAAAGCTGACCTGGGCTTATATAAATATTCACAACAATTTTACTATTTGGCAGGCTGCCCGATTGTTGGAGCATTATGAGCCGTTCTGGCAATCTTGTATTTTGTGCTTTTATAAGTCAGTTTTAAATGCAGAAAATGTACCGGTAATAATTTTTAGTACTGGTGGTATACTATTTAAAAATAATCGTTCTGTAGTTGAAAAGTGTTAGCTATAACTTATAAATGCATGCAATAGATGAACTAATATCTACGTTAAATTTCACCTGTTAATATTAATAGGCATACAGCATGAGTTGACACATGTCAATAAATAGATACTACAGATATCAAACTGTTGGTGTTACTAATAATCAGTAAAACATTTTAGCCAATGTCCAACGTTAACTTAAAGCCTCAGGAGAAAAAAAATCATATTTGACAAAAAATTTAATGAGATAATTAAATACGGTTAATGAGATACAGGATTTTTATGAATATTTAAAAACTGAGGGAAAGGGTGGAAAAGCGGTGGTTACGCCCTCTTCTCTCCAGTTTTTAAATATTCAAAAATCTTTATCTCATTAACTGCTTCCGAAGTTTTCGTCAAATATGATTTTTGTGTCTTAAAATATCAGTTGTGCAGCATATCACTTTTTCCCCTCTGGAGCCGGGTTTTAACATAAGCTGTCGTCTTGTTGTCCATATGACGTCGTGTGGTTGATCGTTGATGTTACTGCTTGTTGCAAACAGTTAAATTTAATCATTATATTATCGTATAGTACTATGGCATACTATTCTTTTGTTCTTGTGATATACTTTTGCATTGATGAAGCGTTATATTAGGCAACCTCTTCTGGGTCACTATAGGCTACTTTCTTGTACGATCCGGGTGTGTCGATATTATAAATTCACTTTTCTTTTCATGTTCATATATGGTATTGTTTGTATATAGTACTATTGCTAACATTATTATGATTTTAACTGACCTGGATATCAACGTAGCCTACACTTTCATAATAAGTTTGCAATACATAAGCATCACTTCCGCCATACATAATTGAATAGGACACGCATCCAATCAGCGTTGTCGGCTACATTGTAGTCATAACAAGACAATTGAACCAGGAGTTTTGTTGACACCGACCGTCTAAGTTGCGAATGATAGTAAAACTACGAGCAGCAACCAGCTGATCGGATTCAGACACTTCAAAAAACATTGATTTTATCAGAACTTACAGCAAACACGCTTCTATTTTCATCTTGGGTAAGTTATTTTAAATTAATTGTATACATATTTAACCATGCTTTTCCTGATACATGAAGGTAACCGAATACGTTTAGCAAGGCAAGCTCAAGGGAAATGAGAGTTGTAAGCTTGCACCATCTGCTACTATATTTTCTAGGATTGTTTTGATGTAATTACAAGTTTACTCTATTGGCTCATTGCCTAAATTTATACGTATATACGTTTGTCACGAATTGGATATATTTTTTAATCAGTTCAATCCCAATACACGTAAACACATGTAGTTCACCCTGATGTATTTGTTTTATGTCTAGCGTGTTGCAACACGGTGAATTACAGGAGGTAAAAGCTGAATGGGTCGTAGTAGTAAAGAAATAACCAGATAACTATTAGTTTTAATAGCCGAATGTGAAAATATGAGATAGAAAAAATGGAATACAGAAACTGCACATTATCATTTCTAATCATTAAAATGGTTCGGTACGACTGAATATCGACAACAAAGAATTAATAGAATACGGGGTGATCTTGCTTGACAAATGCCTAATCGGCATAGTTTAGATGTAAATATTTCATTCAAGATATGTTGTCTATTCTAAACCATACAAAAGAATCAAATACGTTACTGAATGTTAATACTCAGATCAAAAACAATACATTTTTCCAGATTTACCAGACTTTTTTCTACGAAAAATCTTATCTTGGATACCAGCCAATGTTAAGGATCTTTATCATCATTGTTTAGTGGCATTTTTTTCATTCCAATTTTCAATTAAAAGGTATTATCCTGCATAGACAAAGCTAGCAATTAAAACATTTAAGATAATCACAGCCGAGAGTCTAACACCCTTAACAGGCATGTCAAAAAAGATTTGCACGTACCACATTATAAGCGAGGCATCATTGATGATAATTTGTTTAAACTTACATTTTTTTAAATTTTTTTTCTTCTTTTTTTATTTGTTGATTCAAAATTAAAACAGCGATAGATATGCTTGCCGGTGCTTCGACCGTAATATCATTCTAGGCTGCTGTGGTGGTAATGATGAATGCGGTGATGTTCATAAAATTAATGTGAGGAATATAATCTTTTCCAGTGAAGTAGATATAATTATTGCTGAATGCTTCATTTAGTTTTAATGTTCTGCTCACCGTTCTAGCCAATTGCTTTATGTATAGTTATAACAGATCCTTCCCATGTCTCTATCATTAACAATAAACATATAGTAGATATTAATAAGTTTTATATTTGATGAATTGTATTTCAATTCTGTGTTGATTTAATTATTTTAATTATTTTAATTTCGTAACTTGTAATGCTCGGTATATAGAATGAAGAAGGCTTAATATTAGGATTTCCAAAATGAAGTATTCTGTGAACATGGGTGTTGATTTCTGGGGGGTACAGCCAAGCCTAAGCTATCATATAAGTATCTTACCAGAACAAATTAACAATGCTTAAGACACATATATAGATTAGGCCTACATATAAGCTACCGTACATTTGGTATTATCCGTGTTCAGACTTGTAGGGCAGATGCTAACCATTACGGAAAGCGCATAAATTATATACACCGTTTTGAGCTTTCTTAATAAATACGGACAGGAAATGCAAGGCGTCAGTAGAATGATCCCCGACCTGAAAGTTGGCAAGATTTCAGGCACTGAAATTAACATTTGAAAATTTTTTAAAAGGGAAATATGTACCGATTGTGGTTGCGTCTGCCAAAAACATACCTTTTCATGCCTAATAATTTGGATTAAATTCAATTTTTGAAATAAATCAGTTTAATTGTAAAGTAGTTACATTTGACTTTTTGTGTAAATTTATGAAATGCACTACTGATTTCATAAATATACCATTGATTTATGACACATTGCTATCTGAGGATAACTAAATCATTACCATCACAGTAATTATGTACTATTTATAGGTATGAGAATTGAAATCACTACTATAACGTAGGCCTAATAGTTAGTACATTGAATACAGGTCATTAAGTTGCCCTGATTCTTTCTCTCGAGGCACCTTCGTTTTTTAAATTCCATTGTACGGTTTTATACTGTCGTGCACCCCTGGATAAGACGTATGTTCCCCACGCCTGTTTTTATAACCCAGAACTAATTAGAAAATGACGCATTACTGATAGTTCTTTAAAGATATTCATGTGACTTTAGAGAGATGTTCACGTGATGGTACAAGATTACTTATGTGGATATGTAGTTAATAAAAAGAAGAGTCAGTCTGACTAAAATTTAATATAATTCATTGAAAGGGGAAACGCACCCCATAGGTCTGTTGTGTAAAGCAAAACCATCAAAGGAAAAGAGTGGTTGAGCAGGATGTTGTGGTAACGGCAGTATTGCATCCTCCTGGGGGGTCGTGAACTTTTCATAATGAAACTCTCACCAAAACACATTTACAACGCTAAACATCGACATGAGATATAAAAAAAATGCATTACACACTAAATTAACAAAATAATGAATAATATTAACAATGAATAACAATAAGGCCTATAACATTAACAATAATAGAATTAGCAGCAAAAACAATATGACAGTAAAAATAATAATTACCAACTACAATGATAATAATACAAAATAGCAATAACAAAGAGGCGAAGATTTAAAAATAATCTCTAAATTGTTTACAAGCCAGAGTATTTTAGAAATATAATGAACGTATTATGCGTTTATTGGTAAAAAAAAAAATACTGCATGACGTTAATTTTTTTCAACTTAAAGCTAATGAGCCTAAGTTAATAATTTCAAAAGCAATTCAAAATTCGAATCTTATTTTTCCGATTTATTAGCTCAACGCAAATAGTATAGCTATAAACTAAACCATGATTGGATGAGAGACGCGTTCGATAATCTTTCAATCCGAGTTTTTACTGAGAAATTTATAACATCAAAGTTAATTGCCCATTTCCTAACACTTACTTACAATTTAATATTTATTAAAATGTTTTTCTTTAACAGTCATTTTATTATCTATTTAATTGACCTTATCAATCTGATCCTTATCATATCTATAAGAAAAAATACTGTTTGGTAGGCCTTTCGATTTAAACTAATACAACCTTCCCTACAGTAAATGATATTAATGCCGAGTAAATGTGTTTATATAAACCAGTCACATTAAAGGCCTATCTTAATGGTGTTTGTTGGTTGTACTTTTGGACAAATTAAAGTTACAATGAAATAATTAATCTATAATTATAAACGGAAGAACTATGTAGACAGTATAATTCAAATAGACAAGGAATTGTCAATTTTCATTAAAATCAATAATTGTTTACTATTATACAATAACACGTGTTGACATTAAACCATATAATTTGTTATTAACATATTCATGTTTCCTCAACTAATTAAAACTATTAAAATTGCCAAATCATTATTTTTCCAAGCAGATTTAAATAATAGGCCTAAAAACTTTTGATGATATTATTATTATTATTATTATTATTATTATTATTATTATTATTTATCATGATCATGATAATCAATATTATTATCATGGTGATGATTTTCATCATGATCATGATAAGTGTTGTTGACAACGGGCGGTACAGACGCAGTCTGTTTCAAATAATTCTTAGATACTGAAATTTAAAAAGAAAAGTCAACAATAATATCAATTTTAAAACTAATACCTACTGTAACTACTTACCGATTTTGCAATATTTTGAATAGAATACAAAATTACGCAAGGTGATTTTCAGATTTTGTGGAAGTCTAATAACAATTGTGGTATTCACTTTTGAACTTGATGTAATTTTACAAAAGTACAGCAGTTTTAAAGTATATTTACAACGTCGATTTAATTAAGTTGGCAAACGGTTTTTATAATGTGCGTTTATGCTTTAACATCCAGAAGAAGTAAATACTTGCCAAATACAGAATGGCACGTGAATCTCTATACAATTAAGTGAACGGGTGAAATAAAGTTCAGATGTTTTACATGATGTGAACATACAAGGACCCTGGAAATAGAAGGCAAGCATCTTAACACCAAGACACAGCATGTGCCTACAGCAATCATTATACTGTGATACTCAACCCTGGATAAATGCAACTTGGTTACTTTCCAAGGAGTAACTTTTTTAAAAAGTGTAAGGCCTACTATTAGAGTAGAAACCTGGACAAGGGCCAATACATTATTTTCTAAAACCTAAAGAGCAAGGTAATAGGACTTTATTGAAAATTATTTATAATTGCCTCTCTGCAATGTTGCTTTATCGCTATGCTCATCAACGTACTGTATTAAGATTAATATTTGCGTTCGACATTCGCCAAATTGAAGTCGTATTTGAAAAATATTCAAGTGTTAACCAATTTTTATAATTAATTCACTTTGAGCATCCTTGTTTGTCAAAGCAGTTTTAATACTAGGTAAACCAAGTTTGCAGGAGTCTCAGTTTGTAACGTCTGAATTTCGTAAATTCCAGAGAGGCCTACGTCCAGAAGCGATACATTAGGTCTAGTTCACAAGAATTTGCTGCCATTCTGTAGCGATTGGTTGAGAAACCAGCAGTGTTGTTGCCTTAATGTCGTATGCCTTACCTGTGTCTATATATTATGTGCACCTTCCCTTCATATTCATGAATATATGATTTACGGTCATCATTGATGTCCTTTTGATTATTAAATGAATTTTTATTGTTTCTGTTTCTTAGTTTTTTTCAATTTATTAATTTTATATTTATTATTTTTTATTTATTTATTTATTTATTTTTTTTTTTGAGGAGAGGGATGCTTTAAATTTCCCTACTTAAGCAGATTCTACACGAGTGTACCAGTTAGAAAACGTGTTTGCTGAACAACGTTCTGGAATTATTATAACTTGAGCCGGCTATTTCTCATTTCAGAAAAAGCAATGAAAGCACACAACGATACTAATGCCAATGAAGATGGAGCCTTAAGGGTCATGCCAAAGGAGAGGGGTAGTCTGGTCGGTGTCTCTTGTATAATACGACAGTACGAAGAATCAAGATTTATCGTTACTATACCAGGACTGCCAATTCTGCCTTATCAAAAACATATAGGTCTACATCAATCGCAAAATATGCACGACAAAAGCCTGCAGGCAACTAGGGGATCCAGTAATCACGGATACAACCTGCGAAGTTCACGTAAACATCCGAAACTTCCCCCGAAACCTGCAGTGAAAAAACACCAGCAGAAATTGACAGATATACAAGATGCCAAAAATGGAAATTTTGCGGAACTTCACCAGGAGTACTTCACCGGTTCAACAGCTATAAAACCACCACAAAACTGTAAGTACGCCTAAGCCTTAGTCTTTGTGAGGGGTAAACATGCTTCTCCAAGCAGTTTTCAGATATTAAATTATTGACAATATACCCTAATTTATAGTTTGCGTCACAGCTATAAACAGAATATGACTAAGGAACAGACACGACAATCAGCTAAACGTAGAATAGGTATTACGGAGTGTTGAGCTTGGTGGCAAGATTATTAGAAAGATCATGATGAGTTAAAACATATGCAAGAACTTATTCCAAAAACTAAAACTCTCTGAGCATCTTAATAAGGTTATAGAGCATGGACAGTCATATAAGTGCCAGGCAGTTTGCTTGCTATTCTATTTGTATTAAAGAAATAAAACAGAAACATAGCCGACTTTAAAACTAAACTTGTTTATATTGTTTTTTTTTAGGTATTCTGACAGAACAATTTCTACTTCGAATCGCTGAACAACTAGGTAACGAATGGCAGTCTCTTTTAATCCACCTAGGCCTAAAGAAATCTCAGATTGACCTTATCAAGTCAGAGACTTTGCACGGTGGTGATTTACAACAGACTATATTCCGCGGACTTCTTAAGTGGAAGCAACGGTGCAGAAGAGAAGATGAAGCTATACACCAGTTGCGGTCTTGTCTTCAGCAAGTTGGACGCAACGATATATCACAAGTTCTAAATAGTATGGCATTTTTATAGACGCATGGTGTAATATTCTGTTCTTAGTCATTTGATAGATGGGAAATAAATGAATTCAATTTTAGTGCAATATATTTGTGAAAGTATAATGCATACTCCATGTATTGAAATGCACGCCGTAGTGCTGGGATTCAATACTTCGACATTAATTAGGCCTATGTCATCGTCAGGAATATGTATTATATTTTCTTATCTGAGATTAATCAGTGGACCTTTCGATATTTATGTTTCTATTATGAATATAGGCCATACATAATAAAACAACAGTATGAATATTAGATGTTTTTTTTCTATTTTCACAATGTCGTGGTCTATTTGCTATACATATCATCTAATGTGATTGGGCAAGATGATGATGATAATAATAATAATAATAATAATAATAATAATAATAATAATAATAATAATAATAATATATGTAGGTTTGTATGATGTTCATGATGATAATTACTATGATGATGAAAATTATGATACGGTGATGGTAACAATGGTTACGTAGTTTTTACATTACCGCACCGGCGGTATTGATGGTAATAGTGAGGGTGAAAAAATTAGAAGTTAACTTTAAGATGAAAAAAAAAACAATCATAAAGAGAGAGTGGTTTTCTAAAATTTATGGTATGAATGTAATGATGAAGGTGACGCCATGAAGAAAATTTAATTATTTATAAATGCAACTTAGTTATACTTTAAACTAAATCTTGTGAATTATCTTGTTTCTTTTACTTTATTGTAACAGCATTTGAAATAAACGGTAACCACAGCAATCCATTCCAGAATCAGAATACTGTCACACTTCAGGAGAAAGTCGAAGATTTAGAGAAGCGTGTGTCCTCTTTAGAAAATCGAGAATGCAACTGCTCAATGAAAACAACTGACACAACAGATGGAGGCGAGGAGTTCGAGATTCTTACAATTGAGGAAGTTGGACTAGCCAAAAACCATTGCTATGGCAACCAACAAGTCAGGAACTCGCTACAGGACTGGGTTGAATGCGGCCTCCAAAGGATGACAACTTGGAGTTACTCTGTAGGGCGTGTTCACGAAGAAGAGACTATGGAGTTTTAGAAAATCATAAACTTTGAACTATTAAGCTGGTCTTTTTTTCGATTTTACTACGCATTCGTGCGTACTGGGAAGAAGCATGGGTGATCGGTTGCCTGGTAGTAACAGAAAATTAAATTAAATAAATTATGAGACTATTTTTTCACGCAAACTGAACTCTTTCTCTATGACGACTTTCAGTCGACAACCAACTCTAAGTTGGATACGATGACACTGAAATGAAAGTGGTAGGCCCTTGTTAACTTATGCACGTACATACAAATAAATACAGTTGTCTGGAACAATATAATTTTTAATGTATATTTGATAAATAAAGATTTAAAAAGTAAAGAAGATAAAACATGTGTTACTGTTGAAGTAATTCAAATAAAATGCTATAGGCCTACATAACGCGAAGACACAAACAGGATGGAACTTCACATTGGTGACATTAGCTATAGACATTTTATATCAGGGCATTCATTCAACAGTACAAAACGAAAATTCACATGTTGAGATATTAGCTACATAGTGGTACTACATTCATTACACAGTACAATATAAATCTGAGACTAGTTCAAGCTACGGCAGTAAATGTGAGCACGTTCGTGTTTGTTATGGTTCTTATGTTTCCAAACTGAAGATGCATGCATCGCTTGTGTTTGCGCTGAAATTACCCTAGCAATAGCTTATGTATGCATTCCTGTAACAGATAGGCTACGTGCCGGTTGTGAAAGAAATATACACAATTATACAACAACTGAATGATCACATTAGTCCTGTTTATTGTGTATAATTCACAAACGTCGATTTCTTGATGTTTGAATTAAATTTATATTGTAACTATTAGTTATTTAACGTTAGCGTTAACGTAGCGATTCTGGAGAGCTACAATGCATAATCATTTTTTTTTTATATAACATTCAACGTCTCGACAAAATAAGCAAACGTAACAGTGTTTTTAATTGTTATGTAAGTACAGTAGAAGTATTAAATATATACAGTAGTTAAAATAATATTACTATAATAACAATAATAATAATTTAATATATCAATACTATAGCTTAATAATAATATAATAAAAAAACATGACATACTTTTAAAATTTCACAAAAGTTGAATTAAATTCAAGGTCACAATATACAGACATCCACAGTTTTCTAAAGTAAATGTTACAAAATATAGCTTTGTTAGATTACCTATAAATATTTCTTTTGATAATCAAGATATCTAATGATATTAATATGATTCTTTCGAAACATTTGAGCATAAAGTAAGTTACGCATTTAGTTTCAAATTGATAAGTCATCGTAAAAATATTTTGCTGTTGTGTACACTGTTTGTGAAGCCTTCATTAAAATGTAAATTGAAATCTAATACATTTAAAAGAGAGTAAATATGGTATGATAATAATTAAATTAATCAAAACTCGTTTTGATTAATTGATGAATTACAGTAAATACATGACCAACCAAATCAAACAGTTACATTAACAAATATACAGGTATCCCTCTATTGAAAGACCCCCTACAATTAATGACCACCTCCAATTATTATCAAATGTTTTTTTGTTGTTTTTTTTAAAATCCTAATTAGAAACCAAAGCTGCTAAAGACAATAGAAACCTGAGTTTCAAAAGTGGTATTTAATTGGAGGGAGAACTATACGACCAGTAATGTATATGGATCTTTCAATTGATGAGTAAAATACCTGTACAGTATCTCACTTAGATATCGCAGCAAGTAAGACTTCTTTAAAGACAAACTTGAGCAATTTCAAGTAACAGATTCAAGGGGTTGGGGGGGGGGAAGCAAGCCGGCCCTGGCTTCCCTAAATTTTCCAAAATTATAAAAAAAATGAAGAAGAAAGGAAAATATTATTAAAAATTTAGCTCTGAGAGTGCCATTTCTAAAGGTGCCATAATCATATTTTTCTTACCGCAGCTCCAACCATGGTGGGGCTGAGACGGTCTAGACTCTCTATCTGTGAAAGTCCCTCACTAGGCTCCATCTATTTCAGGCTCCTTCTATTTCAGACTTCTGGATCCACCATTGATTTTAATGCATATATATTCCAATAACAATTTCATTTAAACTCATTTTTTTAAAACAGCTTTACAAGTTCTTTTAAAAGAGCTATACATTGTGTTTCTTCAGCCTTCTGTCCACTTGTTTTGATCATAGTGAAAACTGACCTAAATGCATAAAATCAAAATGTCATTTTTTTTCATATTAACAAGGCTATGATCCATCACATCATCTAGGAGCATGCAATCTTTATGCCTTCCAAAAAAACAATCAATCAATTAATCAATCAAGCTAGACTTTTTTACCCTTGTTGTGCGAAGCCCCTTACTCCATGTCTCTGTTGTTATCTACTTTTGTTTAAGCTGTTATCTTAATGTATACTGTGATGTCATTACATCACAATAACATAAAAATATAAAAATATAAAATAATATAAACTATGTATTTCTACATTTTGTACACTGTTACACTGTAGTTGCACCGCGGTTCGTCTTTCAAACAATGCCCAGATTCTTTGTGATGAACTTTACCATCATTATGTTCATAGTATAGTAATCATAGAGAAAAATCAACCAAAACCCTCATCTTTTATACAGGTAGGTGTAATATACGTTCAATGGTTTATACTAATTCTTATGTAAATGTTATTAGCTTGGTATGGTATTTATTTCATGTCTGATTCATTCATTTTCTAAGTCTATAGCGAATGTTATACAGTAAGTAAACTGTGTTTTGTCTCCTGTCTTTTAAAACTACTGAAATAACAGATTGACTGAACACATGAACACCTAGAAGCCAGAAGAAACCATAAAACAATTAATAGAAATTTACAATTTCTTGATTGTTTTAAATATTATTCTTGTACTTGTGAATATATTTTATAATATTTGTAATAGACCCAATAGTAATTAATTATAGCAATATTATTACATTAATACAATTAACATTATTGTTACAAACAATAAGGTATTATGTATACAACAAATCTCCTTCTCAGCATTAGAAACATTGGTTTAGTAACAAAATATCACACTGGCTACAATATTTATAGTAAGATATATTGCTACAAATATTTTACATAAATTATAAATTGATCATATTTCATAATGTACTTATTCTACATGTAGCTGCAATATATTTGTACACTTTAATACAGAATATCATTTACACTAGTATTTACAGAAAGTGTATATAATAACAAGAATTCCCACCAAATTGTATTTACCTGGTACATTTATTTATACAGGTAGTGTAAGTGCCCTTGGTATCCCCCAGCCCTGGTAACAGCAGCCATAAGCTTTATAATTCAGTGCAAAAATCAAAGAGATAACAAAATAAGATTTTAAAATGTTTCGAACTCTGAAGCTCCCATTCAATAGTCCCTGGACACCCCCACATTAGGGCAGAAAGGGACACCCAGCCCTTCCCTTGGATTATGGGTTCCGCCACCTCGGAACACGATTCCTTGATTGCCACTTATGTCCCTGAAAAAAAATTCTTGATCTATCAATAAATTCAATGCATATTATGCAATAACCTGATAGAAAAGGGGAGTAAACCACTATGCCTCAAGGCTCAGTTGGTAGAACATTTATTCTGAGACTGGAGTTTAGGGTTCAAATTTAAACACCTGAAGACATTTCTTTTTTTATCAAATATATATTTAAAATAAATTTTATCAACCTCATATAAATTTTATTTATCTCAACAATAAACTTTTCAAATCCAAATGAAAATGGTTAATACATTTTCTCAATTCAAATTGAAATATAATTTTATTCTAAAATGCTATCCTTCAGAAAATAAATCATGTATTATGTTAACACTTAAGTAGATGATGTAAATACTGTGTAAATATTTGATTAAAATTACCTACAAGACAGGTGCAACTGACAACCAATAATACAGAGTTTAAGCAAAACTGACAGACTTTAAATGTATGCAGAAATATATTCCTGAAGATGAACAAATAAACATTTGAAACATAGGATCTTGATGGCTTGTATCAATTTCTTTTAAGTTTCTCAAACTTATTTAAGTGGACGCGATCCCACCAGCCTCTCACCAAAATATAAAATTGTGATGATGGTGTGAATCATGTCATTTTAAGTTTGTATCGTACTAAAATATTATGATAAACTTAAAGAGTGTAGCACTCCGACATTAACTAGTTTGAAAATCAAAAGAGTCACATATTTCCTGTTTTTCTATATGCTTGTAACCTTTTTTCATTTTCAATCATAACAATTTTGAAGGTTAAGTGATACAAAAAATTGTGCGATTCTTCCAGGTTGTACTCTTATCATATTGGTTTCACTTTTGTTTTTTACTTGAACATAAGGACAAGCCCACAATGGACTTCAAACTTGTTCCTAATTGTTTTTATTTTTCATCTTAAAAGTCTGTACTAAATATCTTATCAGTAATTTTTTTTTTATCAGTATATCAATGCAAAAAGCTAACTTTGCCTAACATGTAAATCAGGAAGCAGCGGAAGCGGTCTGGGAGGTCAGAGACCATCCTGATCAACATTTTTGCAAGACAATCACATTGACTTGAATATTACTATTTTTATAGACCAACATGAAATTGGCAATTTTTTTTCCCAAATTTTAATTTTAATTTTGTAAATAAATTATGATTGTCAAACTATGCTCAGTGGTAATCACTATTTGTTTGTGAAAATCTGCAGTAACATATTAAAATTTCCAGCCTAATTTTTAAAATTTTGAATACAACATTTGTGATGTATTATTTAAAATATAACTACATATTGTCAAGTCTGAAAACTCCAAAAACAATTTGGAAGTGTGGAAGTATTATTTCCAAGAATCTTGAGGCATCATATTCTAATACAGTAAGTAAACCTCCAGATATAGAGGGAGAGAAGTAGGTAAGAAAATTCAACCTCTCTAAACCAATCAGAAAACATTTCTGCCGTCCTTTTAAAAAGTGTGATCCCATTGGTAATGTTACATTCCAGCACATCTTGCATGCCATGTGTTGGCTAATGACTTCTGGTGACAATTGAGTTTTAAAATTTATAAATCAACTGCTTTCAGCTTGAGCTGTTTCTTAAGAATGCCCATATCGTGTGGATTTGGTGGGTTGAAAGGCCGAGTCGTTAAGACAGCGACGCCACAACCTATTGCCATAATATTGGTGCTCGAATAAAGACTATAAACCGTAGGCCCAGTGTACACAATTGGCTCATGTGCACTATTAAGAAGCCAGTACATCTCTCGGTGTACTGGTCCATCCCACAGCCTGTCATTGTGGACTAGGGAAGTAGTTGTCAGAATACGTAGTCCACATCCTCCTCGGGCCGAAGCATTCAAATATGAAGTTCGCCCTCAATTTTCAAGAAGACTGTCTTTGAAAAGGCGAACAATTATCAAAACAGACTTTGCTCACTGACTTGTAAGGCAGATTTTATACAGTACTAAAACTTACACAGATACTTGAGTGCTTTTGGCTGAGCTGCATGCAAAGGTTATTCGCTTGAGATGAATCATGTTGCGTAAACTATTCTTCAATACTTGCAGGTATTTCCTGTGACACTTGCGAGCTGCTTTTTTTCTTAAGCATCGGTGCTCGTTTATTGTCTGTATCGTTTGATTTCAACTTATTTGTTTCACTGTCTTTCAGAGCTTTTGTTACATCAGCAAGACTTTGTTTCCGCTCTGGAGCCGGTTTTTCCTTCTCCTCCTGATCTGATCGTTGCTTGGCAACAAGAGCTGACCAGTTCTGGAGATTTTTCCTATATGTTTGTAGATAAATTAAAAATCCTGTGATAAAACTGCTGTAGTGTTGAATCTCAAGTAAGCAGCTAATAGATATGGCAACATTAAAAACAATTTATGAAAAATTCCAATACCAGGACTGGTTGTACTGTCACAATAAAATAGACAATATCCACTTATAAAATATAAAGGAAAGTGTTTAACTTTTAGCATATGTCTAATGTAACTATGATTATTCTTGTGAACAGCGTAGTCTGCTTGTAGTCTAGTCAACTAAGCAACTTAAAATTGGCTGTACTTCATGCAAAATCTCTCTTTTTTTTGCCATTTTATTTATTCTCAAATAATTTCACCTGGTAAAACTTCAATTAAATATTTTATTTATTGTACAAAATGTTCTGTTAGATAATCTCCTTCCAGGATTGAAATATAGGGAATATTTAATCTTTTTCTTACATCGTCATTTCTTCAATTGTAAATATAAAAACAAACTGTATCACTTTTTTACTTACGCTGCACCATCGTATAATGACTTGCTCTCTGGTATCAACTTGTACAGTAACTCATAACATGGTAAACATATACCAACAATAAATGAAACCTGGAAGAAAAAAATAAATAAAGAAGTTCGGCCGGCTCATGGCAAAACAACACTTTCTTTACCTAGACCCCAATAATCGTCATGGGGATAAATCTTGTCATGTGATAGGATTTGAACCCAGGACCCTGAAATTTGAAGGCTGGAATCTTGAACACCAAACTACAGTACGTTTCACCCCGAATATTATATCTTTACATGTTTATACTTTATGCCAGAATGAATATAAATTAAAAAGAATATTAGATTTACTTGGTTGGCAGGTAGTTCATGAGCTCTGTCCCTATCCATCATGGGTATCGGTGCCTGTCCCTGAGCTTTCTCCTCATCTCCCTGAAAAAAAAAGTGAATATAACAATTCAAGAAAACTGAAGCAAACATAAAGTTTGACAATTGTATGGAAAACAAATGGAAACCCAAAATCACTTACACTAAACAAGTTCTATGAGTGAAAAACAAGGTATTTTTCTCATAAAATTGTTCTTGTAATTTTTTGAAGATTTGAAAGTGTAATTTAGTTTATGCTTTAATATGTTTTATTGTTATATCTCATTTTTACTACATTAGCCAGAACCATATTCTCCCTATTATTATCTATCATATTCTTCTTATTAACTGATTTAATTTATTATTAGTATTATCTTATGTAATTAGTTACTACTTATTGATATATACTAAGCCAATCGATATAGTTTTCATAAATTAGGCAATTCTTATTTAATTTTATTCCAAAAATAATTTTAGGTAGATAAACTCAATGGAGTAAAAAATTGAAACCAAATGCTTTGCGTAAGGGAGTAGGATATTTTTGAACTAGATTTAAAAAAAGATTGTTCCTTTGTCCCAGGTAAATTTTTGAATGTATAAAGTTTGGTTTGGATTTTTTTCAACACTTTATCAATATTTAATAAGATATTACAATCTGCTGACCACCAGATCTTTAAATAATATACAGTACATCCTCTATTTTGAGACCCCTCTAATTCCAAGTTCGTCTAGAGAACATATTTTCAAAGTAATAAACAACAATCTTCAATGTTTTAACACAAAGGTAACCTTCTAATTGGAGAAAAAAAACCCTAAAACAGCCCCATACTTCCAGGTCTAAAAGACTCAATTTGGAGGGTGAACTCTAATACATATATATGGTAACAACATCACTACAAATACATTACCTTGATAAAATTATTGCAAAAAATAATTTAAAAAATTTTACATCAATATCACTAACATTTATAAACTTTAAAATCACAGGTGAAATAATATAAATACTAAAAGCTAATAAATAGCTATGTGAATATTGAAAACATTGATCAAATGAGCCAAACTAGGATAAAAGAAGATAATGAAATAATATGTCAACCTGTTGATAGAACTCTTCACTTATTTTATAGGCAACTCGGCAGTGTAGATCAAATGGTTTGCAAATGGCTGTTAAATCACACCCTGTCATAGTAATGGCGTGTGCTAATGATCTGCATTCAAATGAAACATAAATAAAACTTAAAAATAAAATGCTCATGCATATGGAAATGAGGCTTGATGAATATTCAACAGTATGTAAATGAAGTCTTGCATTCCACAAAGTATGAAAAGAATAACTACTTTAAAAAAAATCATCACATACATACATACATACAGTAGTTCAAATAAATTAGGAGTTTCTTGCCCTGAAGAACATTTCTTCTTTTTTTTTCAGATTGTGGAAAATATCAGGTATATGTCCAAATTTATATACTTCAATAAATTATTTGGCTTCCAAAATTATAACAAACAAAAATGTTCCTTCCAGACATTTAAATTACATTTATTACATCAATAATATTCCAAGACATCTCATTTAAGAATTTGTTTAAAACATCCATGTTTATGGTTCTTTCAAACGAAAAATATTTTAGCCTTTTGTGCACTGAATTTTCTTTAATCAAACTGACTAGGTACATGCTTAAGCCCTGTTCATGTGACATGCCTAAATATGGTCATGATGACATCACATCATGATCATATATAGGCACATCATGACTATATAAGGGCAATCAACATTTTTTTGTCAAAGAAAATTTAATACTTTGGATAGAGTTTTATTTTGACCAAACTCACATCTGAACAAGGTTTTAATAGGACGCATTATTTTCATATGATTTTCTGATATTTTGTACTTGTGCACAAATAATAAAGATGAGTGCAAGGATGAGAAAAAAAAAACATTAACATGCATTAAAAAAAAGCAAGCAATACAGACAAAATATGTGAACACTTAAGTGAATGTACCAATATATGCTCCCCTTTTACTTTAAAATTGACCTCAAAACATAACAGAATTGTCCATCGCAACTGCAGTATACAGTAGACATATAAAATCAAGCTCATTATTATTTTCTTATGCGAGATTACATCAGTGGCAGACAGCTTTTAGTAAACATACTTAAAGAGTCTGCAATAAGTAACACTTGCTAGCACACCACTTCATTCAATATTTTATTTATAGACTATCAACGTAACTGCTAATTTGTGTAAAATGAAGCACAAGTTTGTAAGAAATTTTTAATATCGATATTTCATTTTATTAATACACGTTTTCACCAACAGCAGTACAGCACAATTTACAGCTTGGAACAAACAATGATATGTGCATATATATATAATAGTTATGAAAGCTGAAATGGATGATATGTGACATAATGACCACCGTTTACAAAGCCAACTACATTGAGCCATTCTGATTTGTGTGCACCACCCACCTGTTGGTAGAATTCATCAAATATGACTTTTACTGTCTGCTGTTGGATTGGCCAGGGCTTACTACTGGCTGACAGGTCACAAGCTGTCATGGTGATCGATTTTATGTACAGTCTGGATCAAGGAGGTTAAGTTGGCACAGAGTAAAAATAGTTTAATGCAATAGTTTTCAGATCAGATGTCATTAACGATAAAAGAAATATTGTTAAAAATATATATATATATAAATAAATATATATAAATTAATATATATATATATATAAATAAATAAATAAATAAATATATATATATATATATATATATGAATAGAAAAGCAGATATAGATGATAGATGCATGAAATTCTTGGGGAGGGGTGAAGATTTTACCTATGATCCTGTTCCTCCCAATTAAACTCATTCTTGTCGATGAGTGCCTTCAGCTTGCTCTTATTTCCAAAGAACAGCGCCAGATCGGTTGCTAATATTGAATGTCGTATTTCATTGAGAACGGTTTTGTATTCTGCCGATGTCAGATGTCGGAAAATATTGTGACCTTCACTCTGAATTTATCATCAAAATTGTAAATAAAAATAAACATATTATTAAGAATTAAATAGATTAACTCTTTGTGGTAAAATTCTGAGAAAACATTTAAACATTCAATTGAGTGTGTTGATGTAAAGGGATCAAATAAGTTTAGGGGTATGATTAAATTCAGGTTTTGGGATGCAAGTTAAAACGACATGGGAACAAAGGAGCCATTAGGATTTGGTTGATGGGATAGGTTTATGGGAAAGTAATTAAATAGGTTATCGGGATAGATGCATGGATATATATTGAATACTGTAGGTTCAGGCAAAATATCAACAGGATAATGTCCGAACATCTAGGAAAAAACCAGCCTAGATCCAATAACAGTTAATGATAAACGTACATTTCCCAGGGGTTACGCCAGCGGGGGAGGGGGGATGGCGTCGGGCAAATCAAAAAAACTTCCTCTTTAACCATGGAATATATTGGCTTATAATATATTGTAGTAGACCTCATGCATTTTTTCTTACCTGCAGAATGGTGACAGTCTGGTTAAAGTGATGGTGCTCCATTGTTGATGTAGAGTAGATCGCTGCTAAAGGCGTAGCATTGTTCACCATGAATGAGTTGCTTTTCCCTCGATGATCAAGGTCGTGACAGAGACAGGCTATGAATAATGCCAGCGACTGTTGAAGAAAATCAGAAAATATAATAATTTATATGTGAATTATTCCTCTTATCTATAAAGGAAACGTCAGAGTATCATGTCATTATTATTATCATCTTTCTTATTAACCTCATTAGCATCCACATCAGTCTCATCATCCTCAAACATCATTCTCATTACCATTGTCATCTTCGCCATCATTATCATCTTCACCAGTCACGTCATCACCTTCATCAATCACATCATCATCTTCATCATCCTCATTATCATTATCATCTTCACCATCATTATCATCTTCATCAATAACATTCTCACCATTAACATCACCAATACCCCCAACACTACCACCACCGCCATTATCATCATCTCATCATCCTATTACCATCATACATCACAATCACCATCACCACCATTATAATTACTATTAATATCTTCATAGTATTAAAAATAACTATAATATCAGTTAAATTACATACTTCAAAAAATGTAAAGCAGTTAGGGTCTGACTTCTTAATAATAGTGTAAACAGTATGTGCGACAGAGAAGGCATGCGTCCAGTTGTGATACGGAACTTGCCGGTAGTTCTTCCGGACAGTCAACACAAACCGACAAAGATCGTGGTAATCAAATCTAATAAAAAAAAACAGCTCA